AGTTTTGATTCTTGATCATGAAGCAATAGGTGCATTTGTGACTCATTGAGGATGGTGACTATGTTTTGCTGAGCAATTCCATAATGAAAAGTTGGTGACCGATGTTTTAAAAACTGGAGTTGGTGTTCGAGTTAGGGAATGGCTTGCAGTGCATGGAGATCATGTTAAAAGTGAAGCTGTAGAGAAGCAGAGGAAATGAGGAGCAGAACAAAGAAGCTAGAAGAAACGACCAGGAATGCTGTTGAAGAAGGTGGATCTTTTTGCTCCAATTTCAGTGCTTTGATTGAATAGCTGAGGTGGGGTCGTCCTTGATACAAATGCAGATACAAGTGTTGTCACACATGCATAGAATATTTTGTTTGTACTTAGTAGTGATTTTGGCAATTTACAGTATTATCATTCCCTTTATACAACTTAATCAAGTCCTCTCTCCTCGAAAAAAAAAATCAATTACAAAATAACGAAGTTGCGAGAATGAGAATTGAATGCAGACGCAGGTCATTTTTCATTTTATTTTTAGACAAGTCTTGAGAGTTGAAAGAGTAATCATGCAAATCAGTTCCCTTCCTAATGGATCAGAAATGAGTAGTCCAGCTTATATTTTTAGCCCAAATAACAAATCAAATAAAAAGGCTGAGCTAAGAGACATAGAGGACAAACAATCATCACAAACTGAAGTTGGAGAACTTGCAAAAACAAGCCACCACAAAATAATTGCAAGAATCGATGCAGTTTTCAATGAAGTAAAGCAACCTGTGTCGCCAATATGAATTGATGTAAAGAATTGCTAGAAGCGTCATCACCACAACTATATAACATATACCAAAACTGATATAGAAAAACTCCATGTCCATAAAACCATCATCATCTTGTTCACCTTTATCCTTTGGCTGCCATGGTGATTCTTTTTCATTACAATTATCTCGCAATGGAGATCCACACAAAAAAAAAAAAAAGATTTTCTTTGTAACTGTTTTCATTGAAGGTCACAAATTGATATTTTTTCTCGAGTCTTACCTAATAAGTTATTATGCGCCACATTAAAAACTGCTAGTGAGTTGCCGAGAGATAATATCATTCAGATTGTAGTAAGAAAGATCCAAACTTTCTATCTGCTTCAAATTTGAGAGCATTGCAGATATAGATCGAGCAAGATTGTTGAGTGATTAAATTTCCATCATTTTTTTAATAACTATTAAACCATTATTTCTTTAAACAAATATGAAAAGAGTGTAGAATTTAAAATTCATGAATTTTTCAAAAACCTCATTGCCTCTATAAATCATGAGAATATCTTTATGAGTGGTCGCAGCATCTCTAGACTTCTTGCTCCTTAACTTCAGTTCTTCTATATTGACTTTTTACTTCTCACAGTGATATTGAATAGTCTTCTTCAGGATAAAACAACACTTTTTTTATCACTATAATCCACTCTAGGTCTAAGATTTGATCCAGAGTTAGTCCTACCAAAATTATTTTCTTACACTATTTTTCTAACACGAAAATCATAATTTTGCTTTTGAAAGAAACCCATTACAATTAATATCATCTTATAATTGACATAATTATTTTCTACTTCTGAAATCTTATCATTATCATTTTTTTTACTCCTTCCACCCTCCATAAAGTTACCATTTAACTCCACTTTCGAGATTGAATCTTAAAACCCTAATACATAACACTAGTTAAATCTTGACTTATATAACATCTCAAGTTAATGGCTAGGATTTTGCAAAATGAGAAATAATAGATGAGTAGTATACTGAAAATAAATATATATTATACGTGGAGCAGGTATAAAATCAAGACCTCTTTCTAGTTTATTTTCTATATAAAGATTTATAATAACTTTTTGAAAAATAAAAATAAAGCAAATGAAAATTAAATATTTTAAAAATCTTTCTATATTTATAATATTTTTATTTCTTAGAGTTTTAACTTATAACAATAAAGAGACCTAGTTTGCAAAGCATTTGAACATAAGGACTTCAAATGCTTTGGGCCATGGGTCGAGACTTGAGAGGTGGTTGGTTTCTTAACGGCTAGAAAGCTTACTGAATGAAAGGCCCATCTTTCCTAAATCTCACCTGCATCATAAAACCCAACAATCAATCTTTAAAAAAAGATCACTTTTACATCCATTATAACATTTTCTCATTCACACCAATGAAACAATCAAAATCAAACACTGCATGCAAGCAAACAAAATCTTTCCTTTTTAACAACATTTCACATACGACACAAGGTCCAATCCATCAGGGCATTGAGAATCAACAATAAATCATACAGATCCAAGCTTGTATACACAATAAAGTCCGTTCTTTTAAATTCCTCTATTTTCATTTCATTATTTCGCACCAAAGCCAAATTTATAGATTCATAATCTTCTCAATGTCAATACCAGCAAACAAAACAAACAAAAGGGTCATTGAAAAACTTACCCAAAACAGATCAAATCTAACAAGGGTCAGATCTAGAGAATTAAAAAAGACAAACTATAGAACCAAAACAAGACTAATCCCGTCCGAATCCAGATCAAGATCTACAACAATAATAACAAAAGCAATAAAGGGAGGGGGATTGCTTACAGATAGCGAGCGAGAGATAGAGAGAGGGCAGAGTACACAGAAGCTGCCCAGAGAGAGATCAAGGAAATGGAAAAGAGGGAGGCTCCATATCTCAACCTGTGCTTTAATATGGGTGTGGTGAGTTAACAGCGTTAGAGACTTAACGATGTTAGGGTAAAAATTAAGATCAATTGGTGGACGCTTAACATTAATAACCAGTAAAAACAATTTCTTATTTTATCTTAATAAAATACTCTTGTAAATTCTTTTTTTATCCGGTAATGAAACATAATTTTAAATTAATTTCTACATCAATCAAAACTAAATTTAATATTCAAGCTATTTTAGTATTGTTAATGACTTAAGAATGTGTGGTAAAAACGAGATCAATGTGTTGACCCCAATTTTCTTTCGTTTGATTTATTAATATTGATCACCACTTTTTCTTTTTCTTTTTATGTTAATAAAATACTATCATAAGTTTCTTATACTCGTGTATATATATATTTTTTATTGGATAGTAGAGTATATTTTTAAACTAGCTTACATATCAATCAAAATTATATTTTATTTATTTCAAGTTTATTTATTATTTTCTAGACTATGTGTCCACAACTTTGGTTTGGTCAACCTTCAGCCCAAGAAAGTGACATTAACATGCATAGCTTGAAAACCTAGGAAGAAAATATTATATTAACAAGTCATGTTTGTGGCTTTTTGTTGATGTCTATTCTTATCATCCTCGCACACTTAGAGATAAGTTACGTGAGTGTTTAGAAATATGGTAATTTATGTATTTTACTTAAAAAAATATTAAATTAATATATTTTAAAATAAAAAATACTATGTTCTATAATATTAAACGCAAATTATGAGAAATCCAAAATAAAATATAAAGAATAGTTACATGTGATAAGAATTTAAAAAAAAAAAACATCAAAGAGAACGTGTGTGTGTGTGTGTCTATTGACTGCACAGGAAACATAAAATCCACAGCACAACACAACAAAAGCCAACAAACAGGAGAAATAAAACTACAAAGGCTTTGGATTGACTTGATCCACTTGGAGTGCTAGCGCAGGCCAAGGATCGCACAAATTGTTTGTACCAAGGTGAGGATGAGGAAGATAGCTGCAGTAACCGTTCCAACACCTTTCCAAAAATTCCCGAAAAATTCCTCCACAAAGTATGCGGGGTTTTTGGCCCAGGAGCTTTTATAATAATCATCCACCGTCGAAAAGATGCCGTGATAACAGGAATGGAGATCAGTCGTGCTTGATGCAAGACTCTAAATCAGGTCCCTCACAGCAACTTCGTCTTTGTAATACGTTACAATTTTATTTTTCATTAGGAGTTTCGCGTCTTTAGGTTTGACAACAAGAATACTCAATAGGTTGATGTAATGGCAGATGTACTCTTGTCCTCTATAAAAACGCTTCTCCAAGGCCACAAGGTTTCTGAAGAGACTTTCAGTGTTGCCGTTTATCTCAAGCTGTGGTATGTAAAACTCTGTTCTCAATCTTCTACTGAATTCTACATCAAGTAAGCACTCATGTTCTCGTGGAACCTTAAAACTAACTCCTGCTTGGCGTAGCTTGGTTGCACTGTGAAAGCTTTCGATTTGGTGCACAGGCTTGCCCTTTCGACTGTAGGATAGTAAAGATCTTACCAAATCAGTGAAATGCTTTGGTGTTGTTGCTGCAGGAGAGAAGTTACTTCGAAGATAGGGTTTAAAATAGGAACAAGCAAGAGTTATAAATTCCGTGTTTTCTCCTTTGATGTTTCCTGGAAGAAGTTCATATAATTTCGCAAGAATAAAGAATGGAAGCTGATTTTCAAGCAAAATCAAGTCCCGTCGAATCGCCAACCTCAACCATGTTTCTTTCAATACAGAATCTTTTATATACTTCTCTCTACCTTCTCTGTACTTGAGGAATAGCTCGAAGATGAATACAGCATCGTACAGAATCAGATCCAGAAAGCGTTGAGAACTTTTATTTCTATGGAAACCAACTTCATAACATTGGCGGATCTTATTTTCATCTTCTTCCAGGGCATCCCAAAACTCGTCCTCAGCCCCTTTCCGTTCCCTTTCCTTTGACACCCTGTCTTTCCAGAACTGTTCATAGTATTCATACTTTTTCCTTTCCATGAAACGCAGATTTCTGTTGCCGTAGTGAATAGGGCCTATAGAAATTTGTTGAGGACTGTACATGGCTTCGTTTGATTTGCGAAGTGCCCCGCGAACTCTGTAGATGCACACATCACTCTCTTGTTCATATGTCAAAGCTACTCTAGCATGACGGAGTACTTTTCCATGCTTAACAAATTGTTGTGCATTGTATGAATTTCCAGAAATATCTTGATGAAACAATGCTTCAGAATGAATTTCAGTATTATCTGCAAGGTAGTCTCCGGCTGAAGAATATGGTGAATGAATCTCAGCATTATCTCCAAAGTAGTCTCCGGCTGAAGAATATGTTTGATGGATTTCGGCATTATCTCCTTGATAGTCTCCGGCTGCAGAATAAGGTGGATGAATTTCGGCATTATCTCCGTGAAAGTCCTCTCCGCCATACGAAAAGTACGGTGAATGAATATCATAATTATCTCCATAGTAAAATTGGCCAAGTGAAAAATATGGTGAACGAATTTCTCCCATCTATTGCAATTTGCTGCCAAGATAATAGATAAACGAATCATTATTTACCAACAAAAACAATTTCTCAAAAATTAAGATTATACGACAAAAAAGTAACTTATATTCTTAATTAAAGAATTAACTAAAAAAGTTATGCGTTTGAAGTTTTTGCTCCTGTAATCAAAGACAATAGTAACTTTTGCCATTAATATTTGCTTCTCAAGAATCTGACTTCTAGTCTTGTTCTCAAAATGAATAAGTTATAAATTAATCCCTATAAATAAAATGAATATTTGACTAGCGTGTCTAGTTCTAAAAACTAATTAATTAGTACGTGAACATTAAGTATATTATAGATCCGTTAAATTCACATGTGATATCTAAATTAAATAGTCTTTAAGGGAAAGAGGAGGAGGGAAAGGCAAAAGAAAAGGGAAGGAGAGATTGGCATCTAAAAAATATAAAATATATTATTTTATAAAATATTTTACGAAAATCAAATGCCCTCAGCAAGTACATAAAATTATAATATATCCATGGCTCTTCATCTAACAAGCTTACATCTACTTGTGTTCTTTTTAACGATCATCTTTTATTTTCAGGTCAGATTTAGCTCAACGAGACAAAGTTTATCTCTTCAATCTGATCATAAAAGACATGTTATCCACATCAAGATTTATAGATTCATAGAGACTGTATAATTTTACTTCTAATTAACGACCTAGTACGTAGTAAATGAAGTAGCATCCTCCTTAACCAGGAGCTCCTATCCTCAGCTTTCTTACGGCAATTTTTTCAGTGAGGTTCATTTAAGACTTCTATGAGGTATCTTTAACAACATTTTTCCTTTCAAAGCATAGGAAAAGTGAAAACTCGTTTCCAGTGTTGCGCTTGCTGACTTACTAATTAAGAGCCAAAAGAAATTAGAACTAGAGTTTCAGAATGACAGGCTACATTCATGACATTCCCCTTGAACCGTTCGTCTTAGTGTATCAAATATTATGGAAAGAAGAAACATGGATGGAGAGAAAACAAAACTAATTAATGAGCAAATTAAGCAAACCAGAGCACGCACCTTGGCCTATACTGGAGAAAGGCAATTGTTTGGTTCAAGCAGCAGCAGAGCCACTTTCCTAGAAGTAATAGTACTGAGATGCTGTATGCAGCCTCTCTCACTCTCACTCTCACTCTTTTCGATTTGTGTATCTTTAGCTCTTCAACTCGATGTGATATATAGAGACACACTACTCTTTCCTTTGCTCTCATTGTTTCTTTCTTTAATCTTCAAGTAACTAGCTAGTTAGGTTAACTCCTTTGATTATTGAGGAATTTAATATGCTCGCATAAAATTTTCTCGCTAATCTAATAGATGCCTAACCACTAAGTTTTGGGCTGTTGGTGAATTAATATATAATTAAAGTTGGAATTTGTTCCCCAATCTATGTTTTTTTAGGTGAAATGATTGTCTACATCATATTTTAAATAAATTTAAAAAATATCAGCACAACATGACGAGTTGTACAAGTTTTAATTTCAAAAATATTTTTCATTAGGCATTGTTTAATAAATTAAATTTTAGATGAGTTGGTTTTTTTCATTTCATATATGATCATGATAAAAATCTCATCCATCAGATAGAATTCAAAGCCACTTAATTATCAAATTTAGTTGGAATAACATCTAAAACCATTATTAATATCTCATCTAATAATTTAATTTTTTGAATTAAGATAGTTTTTAACATGTTAAGATAGAGTCTAATAGACAAACCGTCACAAAATTATTTCTAAGAACTTAATTTATTAAATGAAACTCTAAAAATGAACATTATGTTGGATTCAGTTGGTAATATAAAGAGATTACGTTGGTGATTCCATAAGGGCATTCATATCACTAAGACTAAAGCCTCAGCTAAGAAAAAGTATTACTTATATCTTGTAAACTTATAATCAGTTGTAAGAAAAAGTATTATTAATGGTTATTGGATGTTTATCTAATTATTAATTTTAAAATTTATATAGATTAATAAGATAAGAATAAGTTGTCCAAAATATTCATATAAATAAATAAATAAATAAATAAAATAATTATAATCAATTGCGCATGTAAACGATGTAGTATGTAATGGAATTTTTTAATATCTTAGCCGCCAGAGTGTTTAGTTGGGGCTGGCATTGTTAATTAACTTTAAATAGAAACTAAAAGAACCGGGAGAAATGAACATTAGACGAGCGGTTCTTTTTTTTTTTTGAGATTCATCTAAAATATTTTTTAATCTTAGATTAATTTTTTAATTATTTTTATTTTTACTTTATTTTTTATGAGATTATCATACTAAATATTTTTATATTTAATTTATACTTATATAAAA